GTCACGTGTAGGCGGCACGTCGGGCCCGCTGTGTCCGCTTCCCGTGGCGGCCGGAAATATTGCTAGCCGCACTAGCCTCTGAAAGCCCGCGTTGCTTCAGCTGTACCACGTTCGACATTTCAACGTCATGGCAAGTTGTGCGCGCGGCGAACATGCTGCTGTGAAATATTCCCACTTTGAGGTTGGAGAAGTGTCCAAGGGGGACCCCGAGCCGCCGGGCAGCAAACCGCCCCGGCAGCCCAACGACCAATGCCCGCCCCCCGCCAGGGCAGCGCACACCCGTAACGGAAGCCCTACTGACACTCCCCATGGAAGCGCATTCAACTCGCCCTTCGAGGATCAGCTTCGACAGCGCAATATTCAACTTTCAAACCTCGCGTTACCAAATGCACCCAACAGGAGTCGTTCTTTTGAGTGGCGTAAGTTGTTATCTTGGTCTCCAAGCGGCTGCTCTGATCACTGTTCCCGCAGATGACAAATCTGCGCCTTCTCCTGGGCCTGCGCCCGTTCTCTCATTGGATAGGCTCCCGCCTGAATTGCATGACTACATTTACGACATCCTCGTAAGCTTTGATGCAGAAGTTGGTATCGCGGCTCTCCTTAGTCTCCAAGCATGGTCTAGGCAGCTTCATCCTCGTCTCTTCAACAGGCTCATGCTGAAGAACGAGGAAGACTGCCATATGCTATATGATATACTGTGGTCCCAGTTGTTGGCCTGGCTTGCAGAGCACACCATCGTGTTGATGTTCACCAACACTTGCTTCACCAATCCTCATCTCTGGATAACATGCATGTGCCTCCTGCCAGCGTGCCGCTCTGTCCACAAAATTTATCAACCCAGCAGTCCTCCTGCATGCATGGTGCACAGCGTGGCCCTGAAGAGCTCGCCGCAGAATATCACCACTCTAGTGCTCTGTCATTGTTGTTTTCTGTCGTTGCAAACCCTGATTTGTGTGTTAGGAGACATTGCCTACCTCAGGAGTGTTACTCTCGACACAGTCACATGGTTGGGTGACCCCCTGGCGACACGCAACGCCGTGAATAGTGTCTGCACACCACACCTTTCCCTCGTACCACCACCATCTCACTTAGACGCCCGCACATGTCGCCCATTCACAACAGCATTCCACCACTCCCCCGACCCCCTCGCCCTCTGCTGGACTTCAGAGGCATTGTATCGCCCCTGGCTCATGACTTTGGTGAGCCCTTTCACCATCTTACCCCACTAACCACCATTTTCTAGACATTTCAACGAGGGACCACCTTGTGCTCACTGCTCACTTGAGCGGGGCCAGGTGGACTAGGTTTCTCCCATACCCAATGAGAGCTGGGTCGTCCGGTATGGGAGCAGCCAAAGAGCTTGACTTCTGGATGACCTATGTGTCCCTAGGCTTGCTTGCGCCCTCTGGGGCCAATGCAGCCACCTGCAGTATGGCTTCATGGCCTATTGCTGTGTGTAATTACATAATTAGCCAAGTGAAATATCATTTTGTTTCATCGACAGATACTGCACATGAAGTCCAGGAAGCTGTACCGGCAAATCACATTAATGAAACCTTCACCGTGTTGTGCCACATGGTAGATAATCGATTGTGGACGAAGCTGCACCGCATAGCCTTTGCTTCCAAATTACCAGAGTGGAGAGCCCTTTGCCTTGGCCCTTTGTGGTACATGCCAAAGCATTGGACTGTAAATAATTTGTTCATTGACTATGACTAGTACACAGTCTGAACACTTGTCTCTGGCTCTTTTGTATGTGGACATACCTTATGTCCCAAACAATCAGCTGGATTATCCTGAGTCCATTAGCTCAAATGAGTCCTTACCAGCACCTATCAACCTTGAAGCTCTGCGGCAGGAAGCTGGTGCTTGCTGGCAAAGATCTTCCTTGCCTGATATGTCTTTGGCAGGCCAGGCCCTTGGTGCACTAGCAAAGGACGGCAATTCACAAACGAGGCCAGCTAACCCTGATGTGCCAATACCCTTCCAATGTGTATATGCAAATGTTCAGAAATCTTGTCAGAATATGAACCATCTACTAGAACAGAACCTTGACAAGGACTTGATCCTGTTGTGTGAACCATTCTACAGCTATATCAAAAATGTGCCATCTACAACCAATAAAGAAGGGGATGAATATTATGCTTCAGTAACATATAGAAACTTCACGTTTCTGTCCACCGGAAAGGATGCATGTGTATGTGCATTTGTTCACAAACGCTGAGTCCACCTTGGCCCACAAATTACTCCTATCAGGGGTGGCACATGTAATAATATACTATGCATCACACTATGCATTGACAACAACGATGTTAACTTCTTTGTTGTATATAATGATAGCAAGACTCAGGCAGCGCAGGTCTTTCTAAGCACATGCTCAGATTATATACCACCACTAGCATTTATTGTCAGAGACTTTAATCTCTGTCATATGTGATGGAATGCAAATATGCGTGAACCAGGTGCTGAACAGTGCCAGATTCAAAAATGCGAAGAGCTAATGGAGCTTGCTGAGCTTGACCTAGCTCTTACACTTGCTAATGATACAGAGGAATGTCCTCCTACATGGATCTCAAATGATTTATCTAAAGGCCTGGCACCATTGATCTTCTCTGGTGTGCAGCTGATTTAATGCCTGAAGATCTGGTGTAGACCCAGCTGAAC